AAAGCAGTGCTTTGTGTAAAATGGTGTCACACTTTGCTACGAAGATTGCCAATGTAGTGATTCTGATACTACAGATTGACGAACAGAAAAACCGATTGCTGAAGGCTGTCTCGGAGGAAATCACATTCAATGTTAGATTGTTTGGCTATTAAAGTTTAATTTTGGTAGAAAAGTGCATTTAAGAAAACCTTTTTGCCTCTGCATAGCAATATGTCTGTTAACACCTTTCCTTTTAGAATAAAGAGGTTTATCTCAAATCCTCTTTTCAAAAGGCTAAGTGAAGTGCTGTTTGCAGAGTATCCTGAAGAAATCATTTGACTGAAAAATAAATGCAGTCTAGTGATTTCCATGTGGGATGGAAGACCCTTGGGCCACAGAAGGAGCTGTGATGATCTGTTGCAGGCAGACTGTCGCCTGGTGCCATGTCTACCTGTCTACATGTAGTATTTCAAGTTTTACTTTAAAGAATTACAGAGGGAGAAATCCTCCATCCACTGGTTCACCACTGCTTTATTGCCAGATGGCCTCTGTGGCCAGAGCTGGACTAGCCCAATCTGGGCGCCAGGAGCTTCTTCCAGATCTCCCACGTGGGTGGATGGGGGTCCCAGGATCTGATCCATCCTCTCCTTCCTTCCCAGGCGTTAGCAGGGAGCTGGATGAGAAGTGGAGCAGCCAGCACATTAGCCAGTGCCCACGTGGGATGCTGGTACCATAGGTGGAGGATTAGCCTGTCGTGTCATTGCACCAGCCCCTACACATAGTATTTGTTTACCATTTTAATTCTTTCCATCGCCATCATCATCAGTGAATTCGTTATAATTGAACTATTCTTCAATATGGGGCAGAAACCTTAATGTGACATTGGCAAAAATTTGTTACTCAGTTTGTTCATTGTGGTGGGGTACAAGTGATTCTGTTTTCAAGCGTGAGCAGCCGCTGGAGGATGGTGAAGTGTCAGCCTTGAGGGATTCAGGCCTGCGCCCTGCTCTTCACCTCCGCTGTCTGTGTGCTGCCCTGCTCCACCTGTGCTGTCCGTGTGCTGGGGACGTCCTCCCTTGGCTGCCTTTGGCAGTAGAGCCACCGGATTGACCCACTAGTTCTCAGCAGTTGGAGCTGGGAAGAGCGAGGAGCCCAGGCTGTTTCAGGACAGCGTGGATGAGAACAGTGCCCGCTGCGTTTCTTTGGCTGAGCACGCCTGTCGTCTCCCTTGTTAAAGCAAGCACTTCTCATACTTCATTCGGCTTAATATCACAGTTTCAATGAGCGGCTTGTAGACTTGGGCTCATGTCTGTTCCCTGAAGGACAGAAATCGGGTGGGAGCCCCACATTTTCTAGTAGGAAATTTCTAAGCTTGAGGAAAGCGCCTGTGGTGTTTTCCTCCACACCCACTGGTAATTAATATCTAAATTAAGAACTGTTTGAGGCCTGCCTTCTCCTGTGCCAGCCTGTCTGGCTGCCCGTCGGGGCTTCCTGTGGTGCCTCACTGATACCAAAAGGGGAATAAGAGGCCGCAGAATCCCTTCCCTGATAGGCATGACAGGATTGTTGTCACCAGGATCAGAACATAACTTGAAAGGTCTTTGTACGGTATTTCTCTGCTGTTTAGTTTTGGCGTGAGAAGTCCAAGGGGCAGTGTCCTCCTTGCTGATGACGTCATGGTGGAGAGATGCGGGTTTGCATCACCAAGAACGGTAACAGCTGGTGGCTGGCACTATTGTGGGTGCACACAAAGAAACTTTACGCAACAGTTAGACCAAGCCGCTGTATTTTACCAGGACTGTCTGAGGTTCAGACAAGGGACCAGACTTTCCCGAGCCCAGGCACAGGTTCTGAACTGACCTGTGTGCTGCTGTGGAACTCTGCGGGTTGCCTTCCCTGCTGCTGAAGGGTGTGACCTGCCTGCTCCTTCCAGTCGGGTGACTGGCACCCTTGCCCCTGGCATGGCTGTGGTCACAGTGATCTCAGCTTTGCTGGCAGCCGAGGAAGGGATCTCTGCTGCCACCTGCTGCCAACAGCAGCCCTGGAGGGAAAAGCATGCCAGGATACTGTGACCCGAGAAGTGGGCAGAGGTCTCAACATCATCTTTGCGCCAGCGCAAGCTTGTGGTTCCATCCTCAGTTATTCTGCATCAGTGGTGCCAAGATCGCCCCCTGGTGTTTGTTGTTGGGATACTTCAATGCTTTAAACTAAGGACAAATGCTATTTTTTGTGAATAAGACCACTCTTTTTCACTGTAACAGTTAAAAAAAAAAAATAGTAGCCCACAATAAAAATTATGAAATCCAAGTTGTGTTGCAATATTTACCTTAGAAGTCATAGAATACAGCCCTTTTTTCTTTTAAGGTTTATTTTTTTTTTAAGATTTATTTTTATTGGAAAGTCAGATATACAGAGAGGAAGAGAGACAGAGAAAGATCTTCCATCCGATGATTCACTCCCCAAATGACCGCAATGGCTGGAGCTGAGCCAATCCGAAGCCATTCTGGGTCTCCAAAACTGGTGCAGGGTCCCAAGGCTTTGGACCATCCTTGACTGCTTTCCTATGCCACAAGCAGGGAGCTGGATGGGAAGTGGGGCCACTGGGATTCGATCTGGCACCCATATGGGATCCCGGTGCATGTAAGGTGAGGATCTTGGCCACTATGCTGTTGTGCCGAGCCCTCAAGGAACAATTTTTAACATGCCATCCCCATGTAGCACTGGCCCCACCCCTGGAGAGTGAAAGAAGCCTAATCTCAGGCAACCTGTGACTGAGAACTTGGTCAAAAAAAGCTTCCAGAAAGGGCGGGTTGAATCAGTGTTTGGTAGCTAAAATGAAGTGTTCATTGGAGTAGTTTTATCTACTTAAAATTTCTCAGAAGCCTTACTGGTTTGACATCTGTAGGCTGATGTCACCGGTATGCCCATCCATTCGTCAGAGTTTTCAAAATATCAGGCTTACACGGGAAGGCGCAGGAGACAGCAGTGTGTACAGTATACAGTGGGTACCCGTCTTTCAGTGTCTTTTCGGGGGTGTAACCTCAATGGAAATACAAAGATACCTTTCTTCTGAAATTTGTAATATAATTTAAGCTTATTCCAATTGGGAAATTCTCTAAAACCACAAGTATTTTAAATTAAAAATCAAGAGTCTTTCTGTCGCCACATTTTATTCATTTTGCTGGTTCTTGCCAGGAACTTCCCAATAGCTTATTAAATCACGTTTGCTCTGTGCCCGTGGTTCATCTTGGGTTTTTGTAGCCACTCAACATGATGAGTGAGCGAGCTGTCCGAGGCCACAGGGACTGCAACACCACGAAGGCGGTAAACCTGGTTTATCGGGATGTTTCCAGTACCTGGTAGTGTGGGGTTGGAGCTCAGCTGATGCTCATTCAGTGCATTCATGGCAATGAAACTTAGAGGAAGAAGTTCTTTTCGATGATTGGAAGAAGTTGTTGCATTTCAAAGACTGGTCTTCCTGTTGTCATTTTTTCTTCTGAAAGCTCCTGCTTCTCGGGTTATAATGCTGTTGTATCCTCCTTGAAAGTTGTTTTTCCAGCTCTCAGCATGCACAGAAACATTTTTTTGGCTTAATCGTGGTAAGATTTTCAGTGCTGGGTAAATGTTAGGTATTTTCGGCTTTTTTTTCCCCATGCTTCTTTTGGACAAGACGCCTAAGTGCCTTAGTGTTTCAGTAGCAGTGTGTTACTAAAAATTTTAATGTATAGGAACATCATCTACCTTTTAAAAATGTTCTGTTTATAGAAATAATTGGAAAACTTACTCTCCAGAAGAAGTAATTTCCAAAACAGGGTGACTTGACGTTAGAGTCGCCGACACTGTTTTCATTTTCGTCATGTGATAAGCATGTGAAGATTTGGTTCAGTGCTTTTTATTTAAAAGTGTTGTCTAGATACAGGGGCATTTTCTTAAAAAAAAAAAAAAAAAGGACAAAATAGAAGGAGCAGGTCTGGATCAAAGCCTGCATCCAGGTCTCCCGCTTACACGATGGGGGCCCAAGCACATTAGCAGAGAGCTGGATTAGAAGAACAGCTGGGATTTGAACCAGCTGCTGACAGCAGCTCAGCTCATTATGCTACAGTACAGGTACCAGCAGTTTCTTTCTTCAGTATTGCTTTTCCTTTAGTATTAAATGTGTACATGCTTCTTTAATTTATCACGAACATGAACGTTAAAACAATGAAATACTGCAGGTAAAGAAGCTGAGCCAGCTCTATTTTAAGTCTGCTGCACGCACACACTTGAATGGCTAAAAATAAAACAGTGATTGGTCACCAGGAAGGCGTTGTTGCCTCTGGATTGGTGGAAACACTGCATGCTGCAGCCACTGTGAGAAACAGCTCGGCAGGTCATCTGTCAGAAGCTGATGGTACCCTTTGGCTGCGCAGTGTGGCTGCCCAGCATATGCCAGGCCAGACACAAGGATCTGTACAGGAATATGCATGGTGGGAATTCCTTGCAATAACTAAAAGGTGAAAACACGAAATATTGCATAGCCATGTAGATTATTGTTTGGCAATAAAATGAGATGAAATGTTCATACATTCTATGCAAGAGTAAGCCCTAGCAAACATTGTGCCAGGTACAAAAGGTCATTTAATGGTTCCGCTTTTATGAAAAGGAGGGTTGGAGAAATTCAGAGAGAGACTGCTGATAAAAGTGAACTATACGAATGTTGGTCACAAATCTAAAACCTTTGAATTAGGTACTTAGGAGGATAAACTCTGCTCCAGTGAATTGCTTATTGGCAGAGCGTGTACTGAAGCCATGCGTGGATGGGTGCGTTTGGCTTCCAGGAGCGCCCGTTGCCTCTGGAATCATACATGCTGGTTGTCTGGGAAGGAGAGCTGTATTCCTCTGAGGGAGGGGCGGGAAGGAGCCTTGACCAAGTGCTTTTTCATGTTTGGTGACTTTTGAGCCTTGCGGTCACTTTAGCTATTTTACAGACAGTAATGAAGTCATTGGTTGCTCATCCCCTTTCTTGGTGTTACGATGACCAGGTCCTTCAAGGCTTGGACTATCTACACAGTAAATGCAAGATCATCCACACGGACATAAAGCCAGAGAACATCCTCATGTGTGTGGATGACACCTACGTGAGAAGAATGGCCGCCGAGGCCACCGAGTGGCAGAAAGCTGGCGCCCCTCCCCCTTCGGGGTCTGCAGGTGAGTGGAGTCGGCTCCCTGAGCCTGCAGTCGCTCGCTCGTCGGTGCGTATTAGGGACCTGTCTCATGAGAAGGCAGGAAATTGTATTGAATAAACGGAACTGTATTTAATGCTTTACTCGCTTACCTTTGTCTTCCCCTGAGAGACCCTCTAAGTTCCTACCTGTGTCCGTGAGCTTTTCCACGTACGTTCTTGAGTTTCCAGGCTTTCTGGGGAGGAGGCAGTTGTGACAGGCTTGCAGCTGACCTATAGTCAGGAGGGATGTTTCTTCTAGCTCTAGTTTTGTCAGATTGCTTACAACTCAATGGTTCACAGTAAGTTGAATGTAACTGGGAGATTTGGAACTAGTTACAGAAGACTAGTAAATGTGGGATGTGTGACGGCTCGAGTATCTGCATGTGGACACTTGGATTTCCGGTTTGACTGAATTCGGCGGTGGCCCTGAAGTGCTGACTGTCCCCACACATTTCATACATTGTCTGTGCCCGAGCTCAGGCAGGGGGCAGTCTCCAGTCTCACTCCCTGCCCTTCAGACTGTTGGTTAGAGCGTGGACCTAACCTTCAGGCTCTTGATGTGCTTCGGGATCTAATCCAGGGACTTCTAGAATGCTATATACTCGCTGCAGTGCGTGGTTGCCTTCGCTGGTCTAAAGCCTGCAAATCGATTTCAAACAGATGTACATTCACTCTGACATGTTAATTGCTTTGCGTATAAGCAAATTTGGCTTAATGACAATGTGATTTCTGTGAACTCAGCATTTTCTTAAATTAGTATTATGCTAAAGGTTGATTGTTTTTACAGTTTTGTATGGATAAGAGATGGTTCTGGTTGACGATTCCAGCTGTGCCTTTTAAGAGCTGGCTGGCTGAGCTGCGTGGACCATTTCTGAATTCCTATGGCTAAGAAACTCTGAGCAGTTCTCTTAGGTAGCCATTCAAGGACAGTTTTACTTTGCGATCTGAATGAGCTGTATAAGGATGTGTATGTATTTTCCTCTGAATCTGTTTTGTTTTCTTTTGTTTCAGTGAGTACGGCTCCTCAACAAAAACCTGTAAGTACTTAGCAAATTCACTTGTACTCATTGTGTCAAGAGAGACTGGTTATTACTGAGTTTTCCCAATTTTAACACATGTGATGTCCTGGTGTGTGTTAAAGAGCAGGCATGCTTGTAAATGTTGGAAGTGGTGGTTGTGTCAAAGATGAAACACTTTCTGCAGAGCTGGAAAAATTAAAGTTGGTTCAAGACCCATCCTCCTCACGCACTGTATGGAGTGCTGTGGTGAAATGTGAGGTTTTAGAGGGTTTGAAGTGTGGTTGTTTCCAAACCACTTTACCTTATTTCTAGTTGGCTTCCAAGTTACCTGTCTGTCTGAAGCTCTTGTTCTAGTCCTCCTGCTGTCACCACCATCGCCCCCCCACACACCGCCCCAGGCCAGTTGTGCAGTTGTTAAGGATGGGAGAGTATGACCTGCTTTGTAGTCCTGTGAAAACCCTACATCCAGTACAGCAGCCCTCACTTGGGAATGGAGGCTCAGTGCAGGCTGTGGGAGCAGGGGGCGCTGCAGCAGCTTACTGTGAGGAAGTCGAGGTGTTTCCTTCATTTCAGAGCCGAGAGTTCAGTGTTTGTGTGGGATCCGAGGCTGTCACCGCTAGTGCTTTCAGGTCACAAAGCCTCAGAGACAGAGATTAAGGCGGGCTGCTTTATTTCCTGTCTCACTGAGTCAGCCCATCGCTCTGAATTCATGTGGTCTTGGCACTGGGATATATGATAGCACTGCGAACGTGAGAACCAGACACAGTGTGTTTGACCAACTGTGAAATACACCTGTTTTGGCAGTGTTTGGTTTTTTATTTATGGAAGATGAGACGATGCGGTTAATTTGTACACAGATAGCAACGAATAAAAATCGCAAGAGGAGTTCTTGTTGAAAACCAGGAGTATTTCAGGGTGTTCGCTTCTCAGAGCTCAGTGGTGAGGTCTTTTGGGTTTGGGCTCTAACCTGGCAGTAGACCCCACATGTGGTATCAAATTGCACTGCTTTCTTCTTGTTTTGTTTTGCACCCCGCACCCCCCCACCCCCGGCAGCCAGGCGACTCAGCTCTGAGCTGGTGCATGGCAGAGTATAACAGCCAAGCTGCCAGCACTTGTGCTGCTGTGTGGTGCTCGACCAAAGACGGGAAGACAAAAACTGACCCGTGGCATTTTCTTAACCTTGTAGATAGGAAAAATATCTAAAAACAAAAAGAAAAAGCTGAAAAAGAAGCAGAAGAGGCAGGCAGAATTATTGGAAAAACGCCTGCAGGAGATAGAAGAATTGGAGCGAGAAGCTGAAAGGAAAATAATAGAAGAAAACATCAGCTCAAGCGCGCCTTGCAATGAGCAAGATGGCGAATACCACTCAGAGGTGAAGCTGAAGGCGGCAGGGCTGGAGGAGGCCGCCGAGGAGGAGACGGCCAAAGACAGCGGTCAGTGTGGCCCCAGTGTGGGATCCTGGTGGGGAGGGTGGCCCCAGTGTGGGATCCTGGAGTGAAGCACTGGGGTGTCTGCCCCCTGCATACCAGCTCCTCAGATAGCGAGGGCTGCTCTCTGCCTGTCCTGATGGGCAGTGTGAGATGTGGCCTGGGGCCTCACATAACCAAATTTGTGCCTGCAGCTTGTTAAACTTCTCAGGCTAGCTTTTAAAATACAGAAAATGTCTGAGAAGTACCGTGCCACCTGCTTAGTCACAGGGTCGTTCCTGTGGTTTGCAGGCAGCAGATTGCCCAACAGTTGTGCATGGCAAAGACCTTGGTCAGAGGAGGGGATAGAAATGCAAGTAAGAAGCTTAGAGCTAACTTAATGTGAGTAGGCCAGGTAGAGAGTGATTGATAAATAAGATATGGGAAGCTAAAAGTTTTATCCCATGCATCAAGAGCTGTGCACTCCGTGAAGTGTGAATGAAGCATGCCGGAGTTTCCGCTTGTTGAAGGTGAGGTACTCAGCAGGTGCTGGGTCCGTGTCCCGGAGAGGGGTGGTGCTGATTCTTATCCTGTTCATTTTTTAAGGTGAAGCTGAGGACCAGGACGAGAAAGAAGATACCGAGAAGGAAAACATTGAGAAGGATGAAGATGATGTTGAACGGGAACTTGCAAACATAGACCCCCCTTGGATAGAGTCTCCCCAAACCAACGGCCATATAGAGAACGGCCCATTCTCACTGGAGCAGCAGCTGGAGGAGGAGGAAGATGAGGAAGATGACTGCCCGAATCCTGAGGAGTATAACCCTGAGGAGCCAAATGCAGAAAGCGATTACACGTATAGCAGTTCCTATGAACAGTTCAATGGTGAATTACCAAACGGACGACATAAAATTCCCGAGTCCCAGTTTGCTGAGTTTTCTACTTCCTTGTTCTCGGGGTCCTTAGAACCTGTGGCCTGTGGCTCGGTGCTGTCCGAGGGGTCACCGCTGACCGAGCCTGAGGAAAGCAGTCCGTCCCATGACAGAAGCAGGACCGTGTCCGCCTCCAGCACCGGGGATTTGCCCAAAAGTAAGTGTCCCTCCCTTCCCGTCGGCCGCTTGCGGTGACCATGGCGTCATACCTGGGGCGGAGGTTGGGAAAGGAGCCTGTTGCAGGCCGTGAAGCCATGGGTGTGTGCCCTGGCCATCCTCCTGTCACTGCTTCAGTCCTCAGGAGCAAGTAACGTGAGTTAAAGATAAATCGTGCATCGCTAGCCTTGGTCTTGCTCTCGGCATCTGATGTCATCTTTCTGGACTTTTCTTGTCCTTCTGTGTTTAGTTAGCTTTTAGATCTGGCCACTTACACCCGTGGGTTTCAACGATGCGTCATTTAGCTGGTAATTTATAGCCTCTTTGTTCTGATGTTATATATTTTTTTTAGCTCTGTTGGAAAAGAATGTACCTGCTCTTTAGCTGTACTGAGAGGAAGGGCCATAAATTTACGTTGGTAGTCGTCCCTGGGGATGGGATCCTGGGAGATGGAATGGGTTTCAGAGGGATGGCAGGCTAAAGATGGGAGCTTGTGAGACCATGACCTACTTGAAGCCTTGATTTGGGGAGCACATGTCACGGACTACTCACTGACTTCAGTAGACAAACTTCCTTTCCATCTGGCCCGCAGTGAGGAGCTCAGAAACCTCGCTCCCTCTACTGACACAGAGCCAGCAGATGCTGGGACAGCCCTGGCTGGTGGCTGGTGGCTGCTGGCCTGTCTGGAGGGCGTGTCTGCTTTCTTTGGCTGGGCACAGTCAGCCCTTGGTCACCTTGACTGTGACCAGAGGGTATTGCAAGGTGTCGTAGAATGGCTACGGATGGTTCATTTCCAGGAAGGGACAGTAGGGAAGCATTTTCTCCAGACTTACTGTTTTTTTTTTAAACAAACTCTCCTGTGGGTTTTTTTTTTTCCTAATGTACGCTCAGTCATTTTATTTAAAAGGCAGAGCAAGAGAAACAGTGGGGATGTGTGAAGTGGAGGTGGGCTAAGTGAGAGGGAAAGATGGGGTGCCAGAGAGAAATCCTCTGTCCCTCGATTGACTTCCCAAAATGCTGGGTGGCCAGGACTGGGCCAGCATGGATAGAGGAGCTGGGAACCGCGCCTGGTCTCCCGCGTGAGGGGCAGGGGCTCAAGTCGTGAGCCATCATCTCCGTGTTCACAAGAAGCTGGATCAGAAAGGGAGGCAGGGACTGGTCCCAGGCAGCGACTCGGCTTGCTCTGTGACAGCACCCCTCCCCTCGTCACGGTTCCTGTTACCGTGGCAGCTTGGTTAAACCTTTGTGGCTGGCGTTGTGGCATCACAGGTTATTATCTGTGACACTGCCATCACATAGTACAGTGCTGGTGGGTCACAGCTGCTCTGCCTCCAGACCAGCTTCCTGCTGCCGAGTCTGGGAAGAGCAGCAGCAGATGATCCAAGTCCTTGGGCCCTGCCGTCCATTCCTATGGCCTCCTGCATGGAGTTCCTGCCGTGGCTTCGTCTGGGGAGTGAGCAGTGGGTGGAAGATGCTCGCTCTCTCGCTCACTCTCCCTCTCCCTCTTTCTTGCTCTCCCTCTCCTCTCTCTCTCTGCCTTTTGAATAAAAAAAAAAAAACTTTTTTTTCAGAAAAGGGGAAAAAAGGAATTTGGGTGTTTTGTTCTGCCGAGCCTCTTACCCAGAGAAGTCTCTGGAACTGTTAAACTCCGGAGGATGCCGTTCCGTGGAGAGACGGTTCTGGTTCCTCGCGTGGTCCCTGCGTGACCTTGAACATCCTGCCCTGAGGGAGCCGTGTTTTACTTCCTGCTTTCCTGCAGGGGTACGGCCTAGAGACTGGTAATTTCCTCCAGGTTGCTGCCTGAACAAGCAAGGCAAGATAAAGGAGCTTTACTGAGTTTGTGTCAGCCCTTTCGTGGCAGGTGTGCACAGTGTGGGGTAGAAGAGAAAGATGGTGTCTGTGCTGGGGAGCTGGTTCCTCTGAGTCCTTTGGAAGCTGCCACTCCTGTCTCGGGAACAGAACCCCAGAGCAAGGCTCCCACTGGCTTTGGTCTTGGTTTTGTTTTTTTGGGAGGGGCGCATGTGGAGTCTGTTCCGGAGCCACACGGTGGCTGCTGGCCTAGGCTGTTGTCACACAGCTGCCAGGCTTGTGTCACGTTGACCCTGCTTGCCTAATGTGTTCTAACAGTCCAGAGAGATCTTTCGGATACGACCTCATCTTCCCTTCGCCCTCGACAGTGAGCTCTGGTGGCCACTGAACAGTACTTGAGGGTGTTTGTCGCCCTGTCTGTCCCCTCTGTCCCATCACCTCTCTCTGTTGGCGTGGCTGGTTCTCCATGACTCATGCTGACTCAGAGGTTGTTTGTGCTTCAGGGTCTCTGCCTTCCCTGACCCCGTCTTTCCTAGCTAGCTTCCTTTCTCCCGACTCTATTGGATGTGTGCTTTCTGCCCTCAACACCTTCCCCTCCTCCGTCTCTATGCGTTATTCTTCGCCGTAGTATATAGAACTACCTAACAGGATGCACCGGTCAGTCACCTCCGGCCAGCTTCTCCCAGCTTCAAGTGTGTGACCTTCATGCTGTGCTCCCAGGCCTGCGGTGCTGAGGGTTTGGGTCGTTCTATGCCGAACGAAGGGATACGTTCCAGTTGTGCTTGCTTAGGCCTGGGGCTGATTTCCCCCGATGTAGGAGGAGGTCTAGCAGCACACAGTGCATGAGGCTCGGGCACCGTGGAGCCAGCCCTTTGGTGCTGCCGCCAGGGTCCTGCCGGCTGCGTGTGAAGATGACACTGTCACCCTGCCACCTGCTTGTCAGGAGATCTAAGGCGAAAGGGAGAGCAGGTGCAGGCCTTTTGTCCTGGAAGGAAGACAGCTCCACTTTCTCCCGTGTGTCCCCATTACCACTAAGAGGCAGGGCTGGGCGAGCTGCTGGGGCGACTCCGTCAGGGGAGGGCAGAGCAAAGGGGAATGGTCACTGACTTCTTGGAGCTGACACAGGGAAAAGAAATACCAGCAGACTCTTACACCTCCTGTTGTGTTCTTATACAATTAAAATGATTGCAAGAAATGGCCTCCTGTCATTTGGAGTGCATCGTGAGCTGGGGGACTGTTTACAGATCTGAACAAATTGCAGCAGAGTGCCACCCAAGGGGGGTGTGTTCAGTGGAGGACACAAAGAAATTGCACTGCCCTGAGTGTGGTGTCTGAAATTGTGTTTCCTGCTTAATCGGGCAGCTTGGGGGGGCGGGGTATCTTTGGCAACAGCCAGGAGTGGGTGGCAGGTTACAATCCCCGTCTCACTCGTGGCCTTCCACTGGAGCATCCTCCTACAGCAGCCAGAACGGACTGCTTCCTGGTCTCAGGAAAGGGATCACACGTGCCTAGTGCCCTCTGCCGGGGCAGATCTTGGATCTGAGTCCTCGGGGCCGGCCGCTGCTCGGGCCTCCTCTCCCGCATGCTCGCTGCCAGCCCAGGCACGTGGTCCACCTGCTCAGGAGAGAGCAGAGCCCCGGGTTTTGTCAGTCACCTGGGCACGGCCCTAGCTCTCCTCTGTGTTTGGGGTTTCTTGTTTTGAGGTCACACAGAGGTTGCTTCTTCCTCTTCCTCTATTCCTGAAAACCAAGCCTCAGAGTGTATTTACTGACCTTTGAACTTGGGTTCAGTCCTGTTCTGTCGTCATTCCTGCTTCCTCCCCCTGGGTTAAGTGAGCACAAGGCCCTCTCTGGCCCTGTGGGCGTGCTCCTTCTGTCCATCGGGGGTCAGCATTTGGATGTGTTGGATTTTTAAAGTTTTATTTTTTATTTCAAAAGCAGATTTTAAAGAGAAAAGGAGAGCTAAAGAGAGGGCCTTCTATGTGCTGGTTCACTTCCCCACTGAGCCCCTGCTTCAGACAGTGGAGAAAGAGAGAAAGAAGAAAAAACAGAATCCTGCTATCCCAGCCATCTTCCTTCACGCCTGGACGCTCCCCACCCTAGTCAGAGGCCCGCGATGGGCATGCACTCCTCTCAACTATGTAAACAACATGAAAAATCAAATCAAAAATATTTATTCGGAAAGGCAGATTTACAGAGAGGAGAGACACAAGCAGGGAACTGAATGAGAAGTGGAGCAGCTGAGACACAAATCAGTGCCCATATGGGATCCTGGCACGTGCAAGGAGAGAACTTTAGCCAGTAGTCTACCGCGCCTGGCCCTTATTTACTTAAAATTTTTGTCTTTTCAAGATACAGTTCCATAGATTCAGGGATTTCTCCCTCCGCCCTTCCTATTCCCAACCCACACTCTTTCCCCTACATTATTACGATAGTCACATGTCCATCATTCTGCTATTTAAGTGTATCATGACATTGGTGGAAAGTTAATAAACTGAGCAAAAGCAAAGAAATGCGGTGTTGGGGGGCAGGCAGCATCAACCAGGTTCTCTGAGAAAGGAGCCAACAAGCTCGTGCTGTAGTTACCTCAGTGCCTTGAGGTAAACATTTGGATGTTTACTGCATAACTGACATCAGTTGAGCTTCCCTGCTCAGTGCTCGAGCTGCTCGCCTCCTTGTTGTGCACATTGCCCTGTCTTCCCTTTAGGCACGTGGCCCCCGAGGGGATCCGCATCCTTACGGAGGGGGATACAGGCCTAGGGCAAGGAGCCCGAAGGGCACATCTGAGGCCGGCTAGCATGGGTCAGTCTACCAGTCTGAGACACCACTGCCGAGAGCTAAGACACTGGCCAAAATTCTCTCAGTGCCCTCCGGAACCCCGCCCTGGGCATCTGAGGGCCACCAGTCACCAGGCTGCTAGACAGAAGCACGGATGGCTCTGCCTGCGCGGGGCGTGCTGGGAGCAGGCCACCAAGTGCTGCTCCCGCAGCTGCGTGTGCTCACGAAATAGCGTTCATTTCAGCAGGTTTTAGAGTGAGCAAAAAGGGCTCGCCAAGGTGGTGCTGGATATTCTGCATGGAACGGGCTGTTCTGTTGAGTCTATAAATACCACTTCTAAAATAAATAAAAAGCCGTGATTGCGTTTCATCCTTCCCAGAAGTCTCAGCTCCTGGGTCACTTGGAGGTTTGAGGATAAAGGGCTTGCCTCACATGCTCCTTCTGGGCCTCACCCCTTGGCTAACTGCTCGGTGTAGCCGTGGTCCAGACCTGTCTTAAGAAGCTGCTCTGGTCCTCACAGCCCTGGGAAGCCTGGCTGAACTGATACATGTTTCTCAATCACCTGAAAGTCACCGGAGTGCGTCACAGGTTCATGAGCAGCCCCGTGACCATCTCAGGTCTCTGTTTAGGAGTCTTCCCTATCGGAAACTAAGGCGGACTTGAGTGGCCCGGCCATGCGGCTGTGTTACCCGGCTCTCGCCTAGGGCTGTGTGCTCAGGCTAAGCGGGGGAAGCTGCAGATGTGGGCATGCAGCTGTGAGGTGGACCGCTCGTCCCCTGGATGTGCTGGGCTGCCCGTGGCAGCATCCCAGCTGCCTGCGTGTTCTGCAGTGGGCTACAGATGGCCTAGAGGGGATGAGCTCTAATATAATGAGCATTTGCAGAGATGCTACTGGGAGCAAGGCCGTTGTTCTTGGACCGGCCTGGAGGCGAGGGAGTCGGGAAGACTAGGGGAAAGGCCGCGGCTGCCAAGGGGTCCTTGTGCCTGCGGTTTGCTGTCTTCTCTGGGCTTGACGGCTCATGATGCATTTGAGTTGAACTCCAGCGCTCCAGGTCCAAATGACCACCCTGTGAATGTTGTATTTTCACGCCTGCGAACCCTTGTCCTAATCACTAAACTCCTGCTGTTTGCTCATGCTAGCGAAAACCCGGGCAGCCGACTTGTTGGTGAACCCCCTGGATCCGCGGAACGCAGATAAAATTAGAGTAAAAATCGCTGACCTGGGAAATGCTTGCTGGGTGGTAAGTCGAGTTTTTGTTTCTGTGAGAAGAAACATGCCTTTCTGTGTGAAGTGGTTTCTTCATGGTAATACCCGTGTTCTTTCCAGCACAAACACTTCACGGAAGACATCCAGACGCGGCAGTACAGGTCCATAGAGGTCTTGATAGGAGCAGGTTACAGTACACCTGCTGACATTTGGAGCACGGCGTGCATGGTAAGAGCGGCCTTGGCCATTTTCCCCTCTGTGAGTTAGCGTTGGGTTGGACACATGATGCAAGTGCTGAGGCTGGGGGTTGTCCATGGTAGATGGGAGAGGGGATGGTGACTTTTTTAGAGTATCTTGAACACTGGGGGAGCTGGCTAGGTGCACTGTGGCTGTACCCTGAGGAGCTGGCTTCCTGTGACTTGCGAGGGACACTGTTGTTGAGACAACCCCAGTCCCAGGAGTCTGAAACCGTGGGGACACAGGACTTCAGGTGATACCTCGTCGCCCCTGAAACTGTAGGCTTCCAAAGAGGGGAGAAGATCCCGTGGGCTTGGAGCCGGAGTCCTTCCCAGCGACCTCTGCTGTGGTTGCCATTTAAATGAGCAAAATGTTAACGTTTTCTGGTGGACATCTGAAACCAAGTTTCTGGTTACCAGCTTGGCCTGGTGTAGATGGTTGAGTGGGCAGCGTGTCTTGGTTCCTTTGTGCTCCGAACCGGCTGTGCAAATGCATCGGCCTCAGATTCTGTGTCCCTCTGGAGGGGAAGGGAGGTGGTGGCAGGGGCCGGATCCGTGGAAGCGGAGGTGTTTTGAAGAGTTGGTCCTGCAAGGAGCAGTGCATCGTTTCAGGCTGTGGTGAGCTCTAGGCAGCCCTGTCTCCAGCAACAGTGAAGTGGCCGGAGCATTGGTGCCACCCCACCTTCAGCTCAGAAATGACCCGCTTCCAGTTCTGAGTGTGAACTCAAATGATGTCATCAGAGAAACTGGACAGCAGGACTGTGATGGGGCTCTCCCAGTGTCTGCCCCGACCTGTCACCCTCACTTGTTGCTTGTGGCTTCTTCCCTCCTGCTCCTCCTCGCCCCTGCCCCAACTGCTGGATTCAGCTGCTGGCCGTGCTCGGGGTGTTGCCCTGCCTCCAGCGGCGGGCCTTTGTCGGGAGGGAGGGGGCTTTTTCTCCTGCACCTCCCAGGCCTGCCGGCAGCGTTTCTTCTTCCTAGGCATCCTGGCAGTGCTTCCGCACCCCCACCCTTTTGTTGAAGTTTATAAATACTGCAGTGTGTTAACATCTGACCGCCTCGTGCCAATGTAGAGATGCCACAAATGCGAAACTGCCACCGGACCCTGTGGAGGGTGCTCCTGGCCAGGCCCCTGCCAGAGCCAGGATGCCAGGGCAGCACAGTCAGGCTGCACGGGCCAGTGGCTGTGTCTCTTCCTTTTCTCTGACTTCAGGGTCCTCCCAGATGCACGCGTCACAGCCCAAAGCTTTCCTCTGTGGTTGGAAGCCTTGGTGTGTGCCAGTACTGATGACATCACTTGTAAATCACCCGTGGTGCCTCCTGATCCCTGCCATGGAAGGGAGAGCGACCTGACAGACTAGTTCCTTGGAAGTGGGAAAGCTGATACGGAGAGGGATTGATCTTCCACGTTCTCGGAGCGCTCAGCGTGAAGGGTTTTCTTTAGTACAGAAGCTGGTGTCTGCATCCTCACGTGCACTCGCTGTGTCACGTATGCCCGTGTTTGTTGAGAATCTTGTTCCCTCCCAGAGAACCGGGAGCGTCCAACGTGAGGGAACCTTTTGAAAATAGCCTTTCATCGATAAGCTTGCGTCCGAGTTTTCCTGAAGGCCCGTGGTAGTTCATCCAAGCAGTCATCGTGTAAAGAACAGACGTTTAGCTAACATTCTGTGCTGTGGGCAGCACAAAACATCACAGCCAGACAGAGGGAATTTGGAAAATGAATTCACGGAGCCCAGCATGGGTGTGAAGGAGAAAACCCCTCTGCGTGGCTTCCCAGGACCACAGTCCGCTGTTGGGATTTTCGTGTGTCCCTCTTGACTTCCAAGGTGCTGACCGGTTGACCAGGCTAGAAGGATGTTCTCGGCCGCTGGGTACATGACCCAGCCTTTGATTTGGAGTTGGGGTCAGTTGGAAGATTTGTCTGCCCGGGCCTCAGATTGGCCCATGGTGGCACACACAGCCATCTTCCTGCTTGCCCTGCTGTAGTGTGGTGTGTCTGTGGTACTGGGCCTGCGCCGAGGCTGCCTTCTGCTTAGATCCAGTGCTTGTGGGCGGATGAGCAAGTGTCCGTTGGCAGGCAGTCTGCCGTGCCTTGCCCCTGCTGCGGCTTTGTCGCGGGAGGATGTGGTGTGCACGGCCTGTGCCCAGCCTGAGTTGTCCGAGACAGTGCTGGGAAGGTAGACCCTTCCTCCAGGCGGCTGGCCTTTCGCTTCAGCTTTCCATGCCAGCGCTCTGGGGTCGCAGAGGGGAAGGCACAGTCCGTCGGTGCCATGACCTGCCCCAGGGAGCTCCTGGGTATCCCGGAATAGACCCAAGGAAGCTGGCCCCGTTCAGAACAGCACGGTCTCATTCAAAAGAGAAATATGCAAAGAAGTAGAAAGAGATTTAGTGGGGTTTTTTTTCTCATTTCATCAGCAAAGGTGTAATACTTGGTACCTTTTGGATTGTTAGGACGTTAAACCCATGGTCCTGAACATGTTTCATACAGCAAGGGACGGGGCCACACCAAGCCTCTCCCACGCTCTGGTATGTTGAGGCAAGGCCAGGAAGCAGCCCTCAGTGACCCAAGCCAGCCAGCACACTTCATCTGGCCACAGGGGGGAGAAACGGAATCGTGCTTGGCTCTGGATGTTGTGTAGGTTGAGCCAACACGAGTGAAGTGATGATAAAACTGGCAATGAGCTGCTCAAGGTAGCCCTTGACTGTTGCCGCGTGAAGGTCCTTGCTGGTAGGAAGGGCATGCCTGCAGGGCCGGCCAGGGGTCGGCCAGGTCTGGCAGAAGCCGGAATTACAGCCCTTGTCCCACACATGCAGGACGCGTAGCTCCATCCCGCGGGCCTGTGCGCAGTGCTGCCACCTCGCTGGCACCCAGGCTTGCCCCCTGTGTGTGAGGGCGATGCACGGCTCATCATTAGAAGAGGCAGAAGACTATTCCTGGTACTCTAAACTGTTTGGAAGAAAGGGCAGCTGCCCTGAGCCTTTGTGGGAGGTTCTGTAGCTTGGTGCACACGCTCCCTGGGGGCGGCGGGGGCGTGGGGCCCGCGGCTGGGGGTACTTACGCATCCTCTGTTGTGTCCTAGGCGTTTGAGCTGGCCACGGGAGATTACCTGTTCGAACCGCATTCTGGGGAGGATTATTCAAGAGACGAAGGTGAGTGGTGCGGTGTTCTGTCCCGTCTCCTCCTGCAGAGGCTCGTGCGTTTAGATGGAAATAGAGCCATGTTGCGGTTTTCAAACACCAAATTCAGACTTGTTGAGTTTGAAGCCCCCTCGAGGTCAGCGAACAGGCCGGAGTGGGCACTGCTGCTGAGGCCTGGCAGGCGGAGGCCCGACAGTGCAGGCCCCGGCCGGTCCACTGGTCTGCCGCCCGTTTCACTTTCCTGTTGGGGAGCTGAGTTGAAAACCTAGGAATTCTGGCTTGAATTCCATCTGTAAACCATCTCCATGCTTTATTTGCTTGTAATGCTGAGGTGGCCTGGGGTGAGCTGGCCTCAGCCACCGTTTCTACTCCGGATGGTGGCTGAGGCCACCAGGCCCACCAGCCTCTGCATGGACGTGCTGCAAACATTGTTGATTTGAATCTGTTTGAGTTTTTTTTTTTTTTACTAATTTCAATTTTTTTCCCCTCTTCTTTTGTCCCATTCTTCCCCTTGTCCCTCCCATCCCATCTCCTTTTTTTCTCTCCTCCATAGACCACATAGCCCACATCATAGAGCTGCTAGGCAGTATCCCACGGCACTTTGCCCTGTCTGGAAAGTACTCTCGGGAGTTCTTCAATCGCAGAGGTAGTACCTCTTCTTCCTGGAAAGCGCCACGATGCAGACAGAAACGACTGGCCCCGTCTGATTCTGGCACTGACAACGGTGATGACAAAGTCACCGCTTCCAAATTGATAAGGCAACCCAGCAGGACTCCCAGACTGATTGAAAAGCTGGCCGAAGCTGGCCTTGTGGCGGCTCCTCCTGGGTGCCCTGCAGCTCTGGGTCCTGAATCCGGCTGCTTGGGGGAAGCCCTCGCTTTGCTTCTCCAGGCGCGCTGTTTCTGTCTGCGCGGGCGGCGGGGCGTGTGCGTGTAGTGTACTGATTCAGCTGTGGTGTGTTTCTGTTTTGCTGGTGATGTTTCCCAGTGCAGATCACATAGCACTGATCATTGAACTGCTGGGGAAAGTCCCTCGAAAATACGCTATGTTGGGGAAGTACTCCAAGGAATTTTTCACCAGAAAAGGTAACAGTCTTTCTGCAGCGCTAATTGTCGGCAGCCTCCTCCCCTGGAAGGGTGAATTGCGCGTTTGTGTCTGGACTTGCACTGCCGGGCAGTTCTGCTGAAGCAGTCCCTGGACAAGTAACCCCGCCCCAGCCCCTGATCTGGACTGAGACTGTCTCTCGAGGGATCAGCTTGCTGCCGTCGCCCTCCGGCCACTGCGCCTGCGCCCCAGCAGTCTGAATAGGAGAGTGCTTGCCGGAGGGGGTGGGAGTGAGTTTCAGGAAGTGGCTTGTCTGAACTCTTCATTTTCCATGCTTAACAGAGGCGGCCGGGAACAACTTTTTGAAAAGCCTTCCCCGCAGTACGTGTTCCTCCTGTGAAGGGCATTCCTCGCCCTCTGAATTCAACAACCTACCCCCCCCCCACCCCGTTTTGTTCTTTTTTCGGTTGCAGGATCCTTTACTGAGGAACTTGCAGTTTCTAGAAGTAAACGGAAGCCTGTGCTGTTTCAGCTCAGTTTGGAGAGGCAGTTTGGCTCTCGACCCATGGGAAGGGTTCTCGAAGAACCCTGTGTTCCCCATTTGGCAGTGCCGCCTCACCGGGCCTTTCTCTGTGGGTCCCCTTGGCCTGGGAGCCGAGTGCGCCAGCAGGGTGCCTTCCCGCCCACGCTCCGGGCGTGCCGGTGCTTCTCCCGGCCACTCCAGTCTACCCACTGAAGGCTGCTTCCGCACGGGTCCATGTGCTTTGCTGTTCCCTTACTTAGAAAGAGTCAGCACAGGAAAGAAGCCACCAGTCGGAGCATCCGTGTGAATTGTTGTGAGAATTTAGGGCAAGCCTGGGTCTCACAGCCTGATGCACACTCGGCAGCCGTGGAGTGGCTGCGCTGTCAGATGACTCAGGGTGGAGCTGCTGGTGAAAGTTGCTGTGTGGGGCGGAGCCCGTCAGGTCAGCAGTCACCCTGGGATTCCTCGGCTGCCAGCGGGGTCACTGCTGTGAGCTGCCCTCGGCCCGCAGGACCTGCTCTGCAGAGGCGGTCAGGACCCGCAAGCCCTGCCAACGTTCTCGATGGCATTAATACTGAGGGCGCTGACCTGAGAGGTCCGGATGGCATGGGATTTGGGGTGACTTAGGAGTTGTTCGTTTTCTTCGAGGCATGCGCCGCTTTCACATTTCTGAGTGTTTCAGGGTTCAGGGCCTAGGCTGGAGATTTGTCATGGTCAGGGGCAAGTTGAATGACAAGTGACCCGAGTGTTGTCAGCCTCACCTGCCAGGATTAGAGCATCCCCGGCGGGCAGTGCTGTCAAGGGGGTGGGGCAGAGCTGAAGGCAGCATGGCAGCCACGGCCCCTCTCCCTGCCACGGGCATCTGGCCTGCTGGTGAGGACCTGCACTTGGCAAAGCCACTCTGTGACCACCCAGGCGTGTGTGCTGTCTTTAGACTGACTGGTGCCTGGTCGACCGTTGGAGAGGGGAGGGGAGGGGCAGATTCTGGACCACACAGAAGAGAAAATGGGTTACCTGCGTTGTTTGAAGGTGCCAGCCGTGGATCTCCTGCAGGCAGCTGCTCTTAGGCCCTTGGCCAGAGCCCTCACCCGTTGAGTCAGGGCCCCTTCAGAGCAGCATTACAGAGCACAGCCTATAGCAGCAGTGCCAGCCAGTGGGGCCCCCGGGACTGCGTGGCCTCTCCCCCTCAGCCTGTGTCTGCTCCCGCTCCTGGCGCGGCGTGGTGGTTGTCATCCTCGCTGGCGCTGTAGGGCTTGGGCTAGGTTTCTTCCTGAGCAGCTGCTGCAGATGTGCGGCACAGCCAAAGCGCGTTGTCATCCCCATGAAGGACGGAAGCACAGGGACGCAGTGTTGCTGTGGTGCCTCGATTCCTCTTTGAGACAGTATTTGTGACTCGGTGGGGAGGCCCCTAAAAGACAGCCAGTTGGAGCTCCCGTTCCTTGCTGCTCATTGTTGATGCGGGCCTCTCGGGAGTGTAGCCGTCACCTTGTCCCTAGGAGCCGGGATGGTTTTGATGTGGCCTCCCAGTTGTGGGTGAATTCACATTTTGTAGATAAAAGAATCTTAAAGCGCATCCATTAAGATTTTTGTTTTTCTTAAAGCTAATCAAGAGGAGAGCAAAGCATAAACCCCTCCCTGTCACCCAAATCGCCTCCTTCAGGGGCCTGGGGCAGGACAAGTGGTCCCACAGGAAGCATGGCTGGTGCCAGGGTTTCTAGTGGGATTCTAGACTGCATTCACACTTGGCAGCTCTCAGAACGTGCCAGCTGGGCTGTGCGGGGGCTGGCGAGGTCCTTGTATTCAAGGCAAGCATCGTGGCTGCCCTCCTCTCGCTGGTAACTTTGAATGCCTCCTTGGCCAGGGAGTGAAAGCTGCTGCTGAAGTTTGGGGAAGGGACAGTGGTTACTGCTTTCATCCGGGCATGGCTGTTAGCCACCAAGGAAGGCTGGGAGATGAGGTGTGACCTGATGGAAGCCAATGCTCTCTGAATTCTGTGCCCAGCAAGCAGGGGTCCCCACCAGGCGCTCCCTCAGGTGACCCCGTGCTGGTGACCCGAGAGTGGCTGCTGCGGCCAAGAATCCTGCTGTGTTGAGAACAGAAGCATTAAAGGAGATCCTTGGCTTTTTATTTTTACTTTTTTTAAAAAAAGATCTATTTTTATCTGAAGGACACATCTCACATTCACTGGTTCACTCCTTAAATACCGCATCGCCCGGAGCTGAGCTGGTCTGAGGTTAGCAGTTTCTTTTGTTGTCCCACATGTTTGCAGGGCCCAAGGACTTGGCCAACCCTCCTGCTGTCCCAGGCCATAATCAGGGAGCTGGATCAAATGGAGTAGCCAGCACACGTACCATCGCCCATGTGGGATGCTGGCAGCTGCAGGCGAAGGATTAGCCGGTGACACCACCGCTCTGGCCCCAGTCCTTAGCTTTGCAGATACAAAGCAGTGCCTTGCTTCCGGAGGGCACAGGTGCACTGGGGTGCAGTGAGGATCTGCCTGTGTCAGACTAAAGGCCTTCAGTGCGCATGACACCCAGCAGTGCAGTTGGTGCAGGAGCTTTGTCTTGCAGAACCAAACCGTCATTGTCTGCTTGTGTCACAGACCACACCGGGCAAGTGCTCCAGAAGTGGAGGCTGCAGCTTCACCTCAGCCCGGCACGTTGAGCTGCTCATTCCGCAGCAGAGTCCCCGGGAATCAGGCCCGGGGCTTCTGACTTACCCTGTTTTATGTATGATTCACTCTTTAATGAGGATCATTTACTGAAATGTCCTATCAGGATTTGTGTTACACTTTATCATGTGTTTTTTGAAGCTCCTGTGTTCAATTCATAAATGACTTAAAATAGCATTCAGGAACAGTGTAGTAGAAATGGTTAGCGCTGCGGGGTGGCTGGGAGGCTGGCACAGTGAGCTCAGGTCTACCTGGGGCTCCCTCATCACTTCCTGGCTGGCCTGGGATCAAATCCCGCCTCCACTCGCACTCCAGCCTCCTGCAGCTGCATACCCTGGAAGGCAACTGGTGAGGGCTCGGGTGTCTGGGTGGAGATCGGAATTGAATTCCTGACTCCTGGCTTTGGCCTGGGCCAGCCTTGGCCTCTGGCCATTTGGGGAATAAAGCAGTGATCTGTCACTCAGCACTTAGAGCCCTGTAGTGTCTGGTAAAGTCAGTTGCTGCCCCAAGCCCTGTCCTTCCGGGGACACAGGGCCCACGCACGCTCCAGTCTCAAGGCTGCTTCGAGCTGGGTGTTGCTTGGGCAAGCTGGGAAGTTGGAGGAGCTGCTGGCCGCCGGAGCTCGGTGCGGGGCTTCCGTGAGGGAGTCACTGCTGAGACTGACAGCTCATGGTCGCAGGCCAGTCTAAGTGACATTCTCTTTAACTACCAAAAGCTGGAAAAGCAGGCTTTTAGTAAAAATTGTCACAATTGTGTCCAGTGATCTGGAAAATGTATTTCAGTGAAATACATCTTTTCCTAAGAAAAAATAAATGTCAAAACTCAGTTTTTAAAAGATTGTTTATTTGCAAGGCAGAGTTAGAGAGACAGAGCTGCTTTTCCTGTCTTGACTTGGCGTTGCTGGTTCCCCACATATCTGCAGAACGCAGGCATTTTCACTGGTTGCTCTGTGTCCGGCCTTGCTGCGGCGTTGCTCTGTCCGTGTCCAGGACCGCGCGGTGTGCGTGGCTGGCTGTCACCGACGGCATCTTTGCGGGCTCTTCTGTGTGAGGATGAGCTGCCAGAAGCACACGAGGTGTTTGAGGCTGCTCCTTGCAGGGGTTTCATCCCGTGGAATATGACCCGCTGTGTTCATGGAGTTGCTAAGTGATCTGGAATGGGGGAGCTTGTCATGTAAGATGGTGTAGTTAGGGGACAATGGCTCAGCTGGCTGTCTGCAAGGGCCAGCATTCCGTGTGGGCACCTGTTCATGTCCCAGCTACTGTTTCCCATCCTGCTTCTTCCTTATGATCTGGGATAGCAGCAAAGGATGGCCCAAAGCCTTGGGACCCTGCACCTGCTTGGGAGACCCAGAAGAAGCTCCTGGCTCCTAGCGTTAGATCAGATCAGCTCCAGCCGTTGTGGCCATTTGGAGAGTGAACTAGTGGATGAGAGATCTGTCTGTCTCCTCTTGGTAAAATCTGTCTTTTCAATAAAAATAAATGAATCTTAAAAAACAAATCATAGGACCTACTATAATGGCCCAGCAGCTAAATCCTCGCCTCGCGCATGCCAGGATCGCATGTGGGTGCTGGTGTGTGTCCTGGCTGTTCCACTTGCCTTCCGCTTCCCTGCTTGTGGCCTGGGCCCCTGCACCTGCATGGGAGACCTGGAAGAAGCTCCTGACTTGTATTGGCTCAGCTACTTGGGGAGTGAACCAGCAGACAGAAGATCTTTCTCTCTGTCTTTCTCTCTGCAAATCTCTTTTTAATAAAAATAAATAAAATTTTAAGTAGATAAGTATAGTTATATAGCTGACTCTCTGCGCTCTGTATGGACAAATACAGTCCAGTAGATTGTCAGAGAGGTGTTTGGCTCAGTGGTTGATTTCAGCTGGGCCGTGCACATCTGTCGGCCACGTGCGGACTGTTCTTTCTCGGGCAGCAGGTGGGGGCTCCAGTAGCTGCTCCCCGCCGTGCAGGAGGGAGCCCTGGTGTTGAGTTTCTCGTTTGTGGGTTTGATTTGGCCAAACTAGCTGCCATGGGATTTGGAGAGCGAGTCAGTGGGCGGGCCATGTCTGCATGCCTGCCTTGCGGACAGACCACGCTGCCTTGGAGAGCGTCAATGAGGAAAGAGCGAGCGTCCGTGCTGGCACGTGCAGACGCTTGGTCAGGATTTCCTAAACATTGCAGGGTGCTAGAGGCTCAGTGAGGCTTTGTTTGAGATGAGGCAGTAAGTAGGTTGTGTGCGTACAGCGGCCGTCTCGGACACCCCAGCGCCTCGTGGCACATTAGCCTAAGCTGGCTTGGAAGCTGGGGCTTGGAGCGGTGCCGTTACGGGCAGCCAGCGTCACAGGCGGAGGCTTAGCTTGCTATGCCTTGACAATCTTGGTGTGTAATCACTGTTGTGTTACTCAGTACCTGTAACTGTGCCGGTGCACGTTGGTGGAAGGTTGGCTGGTGAACATTGAAGGGGCACAGGCCAGAGTCCCTGGGTCTTTAGCTCCTTAGGCCTCGAATGCTGCTGGCAAGGGTAGCCTGCCCTTCTGTGCCAGCTCAGCCCGTTTTTCCCGGTGGGATCGGGTGGGGTGGAGGTGCCTGGTGACCGTTGGTTTTCATGGTGGAGTCAGAAGCCTATTCATACTCCAGTCCCTTGCTTAACAAATCCCAAAGACATTTCCTGTGTGGAACCCTGAGCACGCCGCCATGCGTCCATGTGGACAGAGCAGGCAGTGGGCACTGCCCAGGAGCACCCGCGAGCAGGACAGGAGTCTGCTGAGCTGTCTGAGGCTGCTGAGGCTGTCTCCTGGTGTTTTCATGTGACTGTAGCTCTCGGGGGAGGGCAGTGCTTTGTTGGTGAACTTGGGAGACAGCCCCAGCGTCTGGAGGACTCTTGTGGGCACCATGCCGCTGCCTTGCTGCCACGTCACGTTAACGCATGGCGCTTGTCGCCTGGACCCTCCTGCCCTCTGGCTGCAGCCGCCAATGGGGTGTGCCCTGGGGACACAGAAGCAGCTGCTCTGTGTGCAGCCGTGGGACATCCTAGGAGGAACCAGGTGTTTGGAATGCACTGTCTGTGGCAGTTGGACTTAAACCTGACTCCCCCAGATCTCTCCCTAGTTTGGGGGTCCTTCTGATGAGTGAGTCTGAGTCACCTGAGCCCACACCGGGCTCTGCCACAGCAACCACTTGAAAACCGCGACCTCAGGTCTTGCACTTGAGTGTTGTGGAGTTTAGCTCCCACGACAAATGCAGGCTCATGAATGCTGTTGATTTGGAGCTAGCCTCTGAATTTGGGCCGTCTGGAACAGGCGTTCCTAGCTGCGTGTGGCTGTTTAAACTGACGAAAGTTAAAATGAAAACTCTTGAGTTCCTCGGTCACAGTGCAGCCACGTTTCCATGGCCGGCTCGCCACTTGTGATTGGTGGTTGTCGTAAAGACCAGCTCAGATATAAAGGACACTTGACCATCATTACAGGTGCTCAAGGGAAAGGGGCAGAAAGAACAGGCCAGGGGGTCTGTGTGTGTCCTGTAGGTCCCTCTAAGCAAACCTGCAAATGGCACAAGTTTCCAGGTTGTAGGGAAATCAGTGTGGGCGCCCAGTACACCTTTGCATGTATAAAGAAACCAGATCTGACCCATCTGATCTTGTTCGTCCCAGTCTGCGTCTGTGAGCTGCTCTGGACTGTGTGACCTGGTCATGGGTACGTGTGTTGCCTGCTTGGGGCAGGGTGGAGGTTTCGGGGTGCGGAGTGGGAAGCGTCCAGCGGGTATGTCGTCTGCGTGGCTGGTCCAGCCACGGGAACGGGAGGCACAGTGCTCCTGACGTGGGCTGTCCTTCCCTGCAGGAGAGCTGCGGCACATCACCAAGCTGAAGCCCTGGAGCCTGTTCGACGTGCTCGTGGAGAAGTACGGCTGGCCCCATGAGGACGCTGCGCAGTTCACGGATTTCCTGATCCCCATGTTAGAGATGGTTCCGGAGAAGCGAGCCTCTGCCGGCGAATGCCTCCGGCATCCCTGGTTGAATTCTTAGCAGATTCTACAAATAGAGCGTTCTGAGCTAGCCAATGTTTTCCAGGACATTGGACCGAAACGGTGACTCTCATTCTTTAACAGGATTACAAGTGAGCTGGCTTCATCCTCAGACCTTTGTTTTGCTTCGAGGTACTGTTGTTTGACATTCTGCTTTCTGTGCACTGTGATCCTGGGGAAGGGTAGTCTTCTGTCTTCAGCTAAGTAGTTCACTGACCATTTTCTTCTGGAAACAATAACATGTCCAAGCATTGTTTCTTGTGTTGTGTGACATTCAAATGTCAGTTTTTTTGAACGAAAAATACTTTCCCCTTTGTGTTTTGGCAGGTTTTGTAACTATTTATGAAGAAATATTTTAGCTGAGTACTATATAATTTTACAATCTTAAGACATTATCAAGTTGGAACCAAGTAGCAGCAAGGAAATGTACAATGTTTTCTTCTGGCAGAGGGACATCCTTCCTGTATTATAGTGTGTGTAAATGCACTCTGTAAATGTTGATTGCCATTAAATACGGGGTGGGGACTCAGAAAAGCCGCAGGTCCTGAGTGCTTCAGAGCCTGAGCTGCATGGAGCAGATTTGATCTGCTCCAAGGAATGGTGCAGATTTTTCATTCCGTAAAAGTCCTTTTTTATGTTGAATTTAAAACCAAGTGGCTCTGGATTACAAGTTGTCATTCCCAATACGGCGCTTTAAGGAAGGCAAAGGCGTGCTTCTCAGCCGGAAATACGCGTTCTGACCGAGCAGTTCCATTTGTATTTTTGCATATTCCTAAAAGTACTTGGGGAGGAAAAGGTTGGCCTCCCTTTACAAATGTGATGACCCGGGACCACGTGGTGTTGCCTCCGCCAAGCACTGTTACGTTAGAAACATAGATTGAATGGGGCAAGAATTCAGTGTGTGGAACGAAGCAAACAAAACAGCCATGTTTTTTGGAAAAGCATGACCGTGTTTGTCTAGAACACGAGGTGTGGATTTTCATCCTTCGCAGTGCAGTGGGCAGAATCTCCTCACAGGTAACAGTGACCCCTCATTCCACGGGCAGCGTCGTGTGTGGCTGTAAGCGATTGTACCTGCTTGCTCATTGCCTTGCCCTGAATTGGAGTTGAGAAAATGATTTTCCCCTTGTAGGTTGCACAGTTTTGTTAATGCATTTCCTCAAAATTGTAGAAACCAGGACACAAACCATAGTAGGCAATACAATTTTAGAATGTAATATATAGAGAGGTGTACTTAGCCTCTTTTAGAAGTCAGTGGATTGGATGTCTTTTTATTTCAAATTCTACATTCTTAAGGTGCCTCGTTTTTCTTGACTTTGTCTATTAACATTTATCCATATGCCTTTGCAATAACTAGATTGTGGAAAGCTAACAAGTGTTGTAACAATAACCCATTGTTTGAGGTGCTTGCAGTTTAAAAATTAAAGTGTTTTGGTTTTTTTTTCAGACATTGCCTTGCTCATTGCCCTGTATTGAAGTAATAAATGAACAGATGCTTGCCGTCAAGCATAGTAGCACCAAAACTAAGAGAAATGCCAGCATTGTTGACACAGATAGAGCTGCTGCGGAACTCGCAGGGAGGCTGTTCAGGAGGAAGTTGTTACTGTTTGTAAGGGCGTAAGTGCTTCCGGGGAGATGCTGCCGCGTGCAGTCTAGATCCTTCCCTGCAGTGACCCGTGCTCTGCTGGGGCCTTTCCTGTGATGGGACGAGACACCTGGTGCTGGGGATTTGCACTCGAGCACATGCTGCGGGGCGGTAGAGCGGTCCCGTCTCCTGTGCCATGTGGAGTCGTTTCTGAATAATGCTGTCGTTTACCACGTGTGTGCCCTCAGCTGCCCGTGCCCCACGAGGCCCTCCACAGCTTCCGTGGACGTTCTTACAGAACCACAGCACGGGCTGCGTCCTCCGTGTCTACACGAATGTGTAACCAGGGTCGGTAGTGCACTTGAATGACATTTTTCTAACAGGATCTTAACTTGTTTTGGAAAAGTAAATTAATTGTGAGTTTTAAGGGGGGGGATCCCTTCAGATAAAATAGCCTAGTCAACAGTGTGAGATCGAGTATCCTAAAACGTAAACAGGTTTGTATTAGGCCTGGTTTGGTCTCGGCAGCTGGCTGACTGGGAGTGCACGCGCGCTAAGGAGCAGTGGTGGTGCAGCTCAGCAGTTGCAGCTGAAATCCCATCTCGCCCTTGCAGCCACGTGAGGTCTGCACAGACGCCGTGTGTCCCCATCCTGGCCTCAGGTTGGTGTCTGGGACCTGGTAGACCGGCCACCCAAGGGCAGAACAAAGGGGAAGGGCTGCCAAAGGACGTATGCTTCTGGGTGAAAATGAACTTGTTTGTTCCTGGAACATCCTGGGTAAAAAAAAAAAAAAGCTTCAGTTTGTATTTATAATTCAGATTTTCTTATATTGTTTTTCTCTCCCATTTTAAAATAATTTAAAAAAGATAATGGTACTTGAGAGCAAAGAATGAGATTTTGCAGTTTACACAAAAGGTTACGTATGATTTGTGGAGTAATAAAAAAACCTGAGGAATTAAAAACAGAATGCTAGTCCCGTTGGAGGTGAGCGGTGCCGTTTCCTTGGCTGGTTCAGTCCGCTCCCCGAACCCGGGTCCGAGGTCGCGCGGCTCGTCCGGGGACGCCGCCGGAGCGGGCGGACGAGTCCAGGGTGGCAAAGCTGCCCAGTGTTCTATTTGGGCCCTGACTGCGCTGTTCATGCATCCTCAGCAGTTAGTTCTCAAAAGAAAATGGAAATTCAAAGTATAAAGCACAGTTTGTTACTAGCAGATCTCGGGCACGTTCAGGGTTAGTTCCCCCCGTGCGGTGCGCCTGCGCCAGCCGCCCGGGCCGCCCCGCCCCCCGAGAGCTGCAAGGCAGGCTGGGGACTTTATTTCTCCAAAACTGTAACTAATATTTTATATTCCAGCAATGAAATCCTCAGCTTCAGAGGCCATTTTCATTTCATTTGCGTGCTGAGAATAATGCCTTTTTCCCCTTATATGTGCTGCAAGAATGTAAGATTTCCCACTTTTTTTTTAAAGAAAAATACTAATTTTAAGGTCTTAATTTCTAATCGGTAGATCACTTCAATAATGTTCTAAAATGTGCAAATTAGATATTCCTGTGTGTTAGTCTAACTATTTGTATTTCAAACAGTTGTGACTTGCAGTTCGTACTGTGTGCAATGCATCGTGGTCTGGTTGCAGCGTGGCTCCGGCCCTGGCAGGGGGTGGCCCAGGAGTGCCTGCTGCTGCGCCGTCCGGGCGAGGTGGTGCCTGCCCCGATCGGTTGTGCTTGGGATCTTTAAAAACACTCGAGCAGACCTCATTCTTAGAACTTGTACAGAACAATTTGGTAAAACTGACATAATTGTGATTTATTAACATGAATTAAAATGCCCAACCAGTGCTTCAGTGTGACAGTATATTTAAAATTTAAAAAAAAATTAAAGATCATATACTGTACTACTTTCACAAAGATCACACAGTTTTGCAAAAGACTTGTCATATGTACAATGCTCCATATCAAATGAGAAGCTGTAAGCAATTATATACGCAAAAGAAATGCCATATTTACAGTTTATCGGGAGACAGTAGAAATAGTCTATACATTAAATTACATTTTGCTTGCAAATAACCGATAAAAGCAAATGAGGCCGGTCCGCACCAAACTCTGAAGATCCGTATTGCGTTTGTACCGAGACGCACGGGCTGACGGAAAGTGCAGATCTCAGAGCGCCGTCGCTTAGCCGTGTGCTGATGCACAAGTCGGAAACAATACAGAAAAATCTTCCCTAACGAATTTAATTGCAACGATAAAATTTAAAGATCATGTAGCATTAAACCTATTGTCAAAAAAATAGCTGGAATGTTCACCAAATAAAAAGATACCTAATACTGGCTTAACAGCACATTTTGAAAGGAATTTTGAAAAGCGAAACTGAGAAACATACAATGAAAGAGCACTGGTGTTTTTTTCTTTTTGTTTTTATACAAAGTTTCATGTACAAGCTTTAAAAAGTACCTTTAACAGGTACATATGAAATATACAGTTTATCTTACAGAACATTTAAAAAAATGTTTTGAGAGTCCATTTTAATGCCACCCTGAGCCATGGTAATTGTTCTGAAACGTCGGTGGCACCTGTGCTCTGAGAATTGGAATCTGGCCCGGTACCGGAGAGGCCTGTTGTCCTTGAACCCCATGCGGCAGGGCCACAGAGCCAGGGTGAGGACAGAACCCTGAAGCGGTAGGTGTCGGAATACTGTTTGGTCCTTGGGGCTGGAGGTGAGGACCCGTGACTGGCAATGGACAGTGCGGCCCTGTCCCCGAAGGCTGGTGCTGGGGCCCCAGCCCCAGGGGGGTGTGGTGCGTGGCTTGCGAGGGATACGGCGGCACGGCGGGATGAGCGCTCGACGCAAAGAGCGGAGGTCCTTGGTGGGGCGGGCGGTGTAAGGCTTGGCCCGACGCGTGATGCGCCGAGGGCGGCGGGGGCGGCGGCGGGGGCGGCGCCGAGCTGAGGACGTGCTGGTGCTGTGCGGGCAGGCCCTGCAGCCCCGCGCCGGGGTGGGGCGGTGGGTGGTGCTGGGGAGCGGGGCCGGGCGGCGGGGGCGGCGGCGGCAGATGGTGTCCCGCCGTTTGCGAATGGACGTGCGACCCCGGGGTGACGGCGTGGACGGGCCCCACCACGTGTGCCACGGGGTGCTGCGGCTGCACGAGGTGGGGGCCCGGAGCAGGCGGCGGCGGCGGCGGGGGCACCGGGGCCGAGGGGCTTGGATGGTGAACGGCCGGGTTCGGGCTGGGCAGAAAGTGCCCCGGAGTAACGTGGTGTCCGGGGACGGGCTGCTGGCTCACGGCGCCAGGAAGTGCTTGGCTTGGTCCTGATGTAAACACGGTTTGCTGGGACAGACTCCCTTTGAGCTGAGGGTAACTCTGGAAGCTCGCAGAGGGCTGCTGGTTTGGGTAATAGGAGGACGAGGACGAAGGGGGCGGCGGGGGCGGCGGCGGGGGCGCCGTGCTGCTGAGGCCGCTGAGGCTCGGTGGGTTAAACTGACCGTAGGTGGCCGAGGGCTGTCCTGAGGGTGGCGGGGTGAATAAGGCTCCCGAGGCGGCCTGCTGGGTGCTGGCCGGGAGGCTCTGCGCGGCGGGGTAGAAGTTCCTGGGAGGCTCCCGCTGGGGTGTGCCCACTTGAGGGGACTGCGCGTGGTGAGGCCGGTACGGAGACCCTAGCTGCTGGGAGGGCGGCTTGGGGGAAAGGTGCTGCGCCGGGGGGTGCGGTGTAGACGACTTGGGGGGCGTCTCCGTGTGAGGTGATGGAGGACAGTGCGATTTCGCGGGGGCAGAAGGCAGCTTTTGTGGAAGTTGCTCAGATGAACTGCGAACCTGTGGCTGAGGAAGAGGCGGCTTGGGAAGGGCCTGGCTGTGGCTGCAGAGCTGTCTGTGCTGGGGCTCGGCGTCCGGGGCCTCCCACTGCGGCTCCGGCTGCGTGGGACCTTTGCCCTGTGGGTGAGCAGGAGAACCAGGCTGGAAAGAGAAGACACATCACACGCACACTCCATGTGTGAAAACTTCAGAACTTTTACGTGCCTCAAGTTCTACTCTTGTTGGCATTTAAAGAGTTTTAAAGGGGAGACATACAGCTTTGCAAACTGTAGACTGTTTTGTAAAAGGCTAAAGTCTCTTGAATGATCATACTTGTCTATAGCTGTCTCAAAATCTGAATTAACTTTTACTAAAGCGAAGGTGAGAAGACAGTCCTGGGCGTCTTTAAACTGTAACTGCTCATCTTCCTTAAAGCAGTTTGAGCTGTACACTCTGAAAGAACTAGAAAGATTTTTATTTCCCATCCCTTTTCATCAGTTTCCTTACACAATGTTCAAATAGAAGCATTTCAAATATAAGACCACTTAGACATAAAACCTTGAAAATGCTGAATGCCTGTTTGCGGTTGCCTGGACACACATGGTCCAGCATTCCTTTCAGTGAATGTCACATGACTGTATTTAGAGAATTAACTGCTGGTCGCGTCCTGGCGAGGCTTTGGGTTTCCTCGACACCGTTAGAGCAACAGTGAGTCTAACCTGCTAAGGTGTGCTTATCAGGAAACTCGCACAGCTCGCTGTGCAAGAATGAGTGAAAGAAACGCGATAAACCCAAGGGCGCCTGTCTGACACGGAACGTGTCACAGTCGGTGCTCGGCAGGCAGTGACCCCTCCGGCTGCAGGTTAGCACGCCCGGGCACCTGCGAGCGGCCACACCCACACTGGCACATACTCACCTTACTTGTTTTTGAAGGGCTTTTACAAGAGGGTTGTGAAGCATCTGGGGATGGACATTGGTTTGTAGCCACGGGGTCTAGATTTTCAGGATCAGCATCTGTAAAGCAGAGAGACAGTGAGTGCAAAGTGACCCGGGAAGCGCTCGGCAGTGCACGGGTTAAC